TGGAAATAATGAACGGCAAGAACGGGGCCAAATGTACTTTTTGTGTCAAAATCAGTCTAGAGGTCACAATATTCATTCAAATTAAGCAATTTTTTTTTAAAATCTTCGTTACTAAATTCTCTATCGATTCCTCCAGACCGATTTATTAATTTTTGTTTATTTATATTTATTTGTTTATAACAAAGTATGAAAAATCAATATGTTGCTATAAAATAAAGTTTTTAACATTTAAAAATTTTTTAAGTACATTAGAAATCATGTTTTAGTATTCTTGAAGTAAAATTTTTTATATAATTACACTTTTCTTAAATAAACAATACGCTAATTAATTAAATTTTGGAAAAAAGAACATGATTGAAAAAATTCAATTTGTAGTATATTTCTTCGAGTTTTTTACCTGAAATTTAATGGGTAATTAACATTTAAACATTCAGTATTAATTTAATAAATTTTTAAAATGTTTAAACAATTTTTTATTGTTAATTGTAAATTTTTTTCAACATTAACCAAGAAAATTTTTTTTTGTACATTTCTCAAGATTTTACAAAGGAAATAATTAAATAGAAAAATAAAAGGTATTGTGTAAGTATTTAACAATTGTTTAAACAAATTAATTATGTTTTTTTTTAAATTTATTTTTAAAAAATTAAAATTTTGATTTTTTTATTCCTGAAAATTTTTCTATTTAAATGAACTAAACTCAAAAGTATGGCTTGCAAATGATAATTTTTATAATTATTTAAACAAATTATTAATATTTTTAACTTTTAATAGAATCAAGATACTAATATACATTTTATCGTGATTTCTAAAACATTTATATTAAGAAATTGTAAGAATATGTAACTATGAAAATAACTTCCTTATATCTAATTTAAAAATTGTTTAAACAAATTATTTTTGTTATTTTAAAAAATTTGAGTGGTTAAAAAAAAATTTTCATGTTTTTCAGTTTTTATATTTTTTTCTCAGTTAAAGCTCGAAATAAAAAAAGAATTTAAAATTTTTTCTATTTAATAAATGTAACATGCAATTTTAAATTCTTTTTTATTACAAGCTTTAACTGAAAAAAATATAAAAACTAAAAAACATAAAAATTTTTTTTAAGCCACTCAAATTTTTTAAAATAACAAAAATAATTTGTTTAAACAATTTTTAAATTAGATATAAGGAAGTTATTTTTATAGTTACATATTCTTACTATAAATGTTTTAGAAATCAAGATAAAATGTAAATTAGTATCTTGATTCTATTGAAAGTTACAAATATTAATAATTTGTTTAAATAATTATAAAAATTATCATTTGCAAGCCACACTTTTAAGTTTAGTTCATTTAAATAGAAAAATTTTTAGGAATAAAAAAAATTGGAATTTTAATTTTTTAAAAATAAAATTAAAAAAAACATAATTAATTTGTTAAAACAATTTTTAAATACTTACACAATACCTTTCATTTTTGTATTTAATTATTTCCTGCGTAAAATGTTAAGAAATGTAAAAAAAAAATTTTCTTGGTTATTGTTGAAAAAAAGTTACAATTAACAATAAAAAATTGTTTAACTCGGCGAGTATGTGGTTGGGCATGTCATGCCCCACATTTACTTAAATCCTTTTAAATCCTAAAATTTCCACTGTAACGTTTTGAAACTTCGAGTAGCTGAAGTTATGGGTTCATAAGAGAAGATGATGGTATGGTGATAGTGTTATGTAAATTATATTTTAAATTACTTGGACGTAAACGTCAATTTTGCATATTTTTGGCGAATTTTTTTTTCCTAATTTCTACTAAATTAATGACAACTGAATTGAGATATATTCTAAAAAGCAGTATTATGCTCCTCATTCACTAATATTTAAAGTCCTGCCTTTATAAAAGTGCAAATTTGATTTTATAAAAGTTTTAAGTTTTCATTGTTTTATTTAATCATATGATAAATCTTATGACAAGGAGTTGATTTTATCTTTATAAATAAATAAATAATTAAGGAAATATATTTTATTACATGCCTTTTTATAATATAATACCAGAAATTAACTTAATATAGCTATATGTAACATTTATAAGCAATTTTACATTTTGGGCATGTCATGCCCACCACATAGTCGGTGTAACAGTTTCCCGCCACATACTCGCCGGGTTAAACATTTTAAAAATTTATTAAATTGATACTGAATGTTTATATGTTAATTACCCATTAAATTTCGGGTAAAAAACTCGAAGAAATATACTGCAAATTCAATTTTTTTCAATCATGTTCTTTTTTACAAAAGTTAATTAATTAGCGTATTGTTTATTTAATAAAAGTGTAATTATATAAAAAATGTTACTTCAGGAATACTAAAACTTGATTTCTAATGTACTTAAAAAATTTTTAAATGTTAAAAACTTTATTTTATAGCAACATATCGATTTTTCATACTTTGTTATAAACAAATAAATATAAATAAACAAAAATTAAAAAATCGGCCTGGAGGAATCGATAGAGAATTTAGTAACAAAGATTTTTAAAAAAAATTGCCTAATTTGAATGAAAATTGTGACCTGTAGACTGATTTTGACACAGAAAGTACATTTGGCCCCACTGTGGAACGGTGCGTAATAGCCGGTACGCGGTCCGCCGCCCATCGTGCCTGTGACGTGCCAGGCACGTTTGTTATCTGGGGCTGTTATATTCTTAGCATTACATCACTTTCCAATTTTACATTTTACAACCGCGTTTCTGCATGAATTCATACCATCTTTTGAAATTATAGGTAATTAAGAAGATTCCTACTCGTTGTATGTTGGCCTATTTTGTAAAAAGTGTCTGTGTTTAGAGAAAAAGTGGTTGAAAAATGTTTATTTACCTATTTCACGTCATTTAAATCAGTCAGTGTCGTATTTTATCAGGCGATAATTGTAACCTACAAATTTTACAGACCTTCCAACCCTTCCAACGCCGTTAAAACAAAAAAATGAAATAAAAATATAAAATTCGTATTGTGTTTTAAAAATATCCAACTACTTTTTTTATACTTGTCAATGTATAGTTCATACAGGGAAAACAATATAAATATTTTGTGAATAATTCTCACTCTAAATTGTGATAAATTATAAATTCTTATTACATCGAGTTATTACAAAAATAAGAATTATATAAATATACGACTAAAATTTTTAATATTGTTTATTCAAATAATATATTAGATTTGAATTTATTCAAGTAAGTTGATAGTTTAGAACATATGTTCCATACAGTGCCGCTCAATAACTTTTGCCCACCCTACAGCGATTGAGAGCTGTACAAAAAGTTTTGTATTTTATTTATTATTAAAGATAAAAAGCTCAAAAAGGTCTCTTTTTAAAGCTCTTTTCCTGAGCTTTAACACTGTATAAAATAAAAATTAAAAAAATTAATTTGTTAATGTTTAAAAAATGTTATTGCAACATAAAATTTTTCGTTTTTTTTTGTTTTTTTTAAAGTGATACAGTTTGTTAGGAAATGGTCGCATTTTAATCCCACATATATTTTCTGAAAGCTAGTTTTATCACCTTTAAAATGCATTTTTTTAAAATTTTATACGATAATTTTTAAGAAAAATATGATTTTTTGTTTAAAAAAATAGCCATTTTTTTCAATTGCTGATAACTCAAAAACGGTTACTTTAGGAAAAAATTCTTAAGAACATAAATTATTCCTTTTTATGTGCAGAAGTTATCAACAATTGAAAAAATGGCTATTTTTTTAAACAAAAAATCATATTTTTCTTAAAAATTATCGTATAAAATTTTTAAAAAATGCATTTTAAAGGTGATAAAACTAGCTTTCAGAAAATATATGTGGGATTAAAATGCGACCATTTCCTAACAAACTGTATCACTTTAAAAAAAACAAAAAAAAACGAAAAATTTTATGTTGCAATAACATTTTGTAAACATTAACAAATTAATTTTTTTAATTTTTATTTTATACAGTGTTAAAGCTCAGGAAAAGAGCTTTAAAAAGAGACCTTTTTGAGCTTTTTATCTTTAATAATAAACAAAATACAAAACTTTTTGTACAGCTCTCAATCGCTGTCGGGTGGGCAAAAGTTATTGAGCGGCACTGTATGTCATAAAATTTGAGATTCCTAATATCATTTTTAGGCATAAGAAATACGTGTTCTTCACAATACTAATATTCGGATTAGATATATAATACCAAATTTCAGTTTTAGTGATCTGCTTACATCTTACGTCCGATTCCAGTGATAGTTTATGCCTAAATCTCAGATTTAATCTCTAATTTAGAGATTAATTTTTTTCCGTGTATATCATAATTTTTTCCAAGAAAATAAGTTAACTCACAAATTTAACTATGATTTTTGCAGTCAGTGCATAAATTTATGTAAACACACATACAGTGGAACCTCGATTATCCGAACTAACTTTTTTTTATATAATTAAAGTAAAAAAATTAACAGTTGAATTATATATATATTTCATTTAATCCATTTTTTAAATATACATCAGTATATATACGTAAATATATATTAATTCATAATAATATATTAATAAAACATAGAATTGAGAATTTTTTAAGATTTTTCTGGCATAAATATCGTTATTTTCCTTTGAAAGATTCGGGAGGTCAAAAAAAAGTTCGGATAATAGAAGTTCGGATAAAATGATTTTCGGTTCGGATAATAGAGGGTTCGGATAACAGAGGTTCGGATAATCGAGGTTCTACTGTAGTTTCAAAAAGATTATATGTGTAGGGCTTTCGAAAAATGTCAAAAGTTTTAATATTTGAACATTAAACATTAATATTTTCTCACAACTTTCAATATTTTTTAACGTTAATTTTCTTTTCTAAGCTTATTTTACAATTTTGAACAACAAAAATAGCCAACGGGTGAAAAAATAAAAATTCTAACATCTTTAAAAATTAAACTGTTTACCATCCTATATGTTTTTGGGTTGAACATGATGCAATTATTTTAACGCCACTTTTTTGGTAACAAAGATAAACTAAAAAGATAAAATGAGAAACCATTACATTTATTTTTTAGCATTAAAATTAATACAAAAAATTGAACATTTTAGAATTATTTTACTAATCTTTAAATTATAAAAGCTGACTTTTGTACAAGAATCACACTTATAGCTGATTTCACAAATGTAAATTAAAGATTAGTTAGTAATTGACATGTTTTTGACTTCGCGTGAACAATTAATGTACTAATTGAAAATAGTTCTCCATTGAGAAACTAATACTTATGGAAAGAATAACTTAAACAATTCTTATTTTTAATAAGTCTTGAACAGTCTCTCCACTTTATAAAATAATTTTCATCAAGAAATTGAAAATGTTGATGTTTTAAAAATTCGGAAATCAGTTATTTTTTATTTTAACACAGCTGATAACATGAAAAATCCGAAAAAGAAGGTTTTTGAATTGTAAAATGAATTTTTTTATGTACAAATCAAAGTTTCACAAAAAATAGTAAAAATAATTTACAATAAAAAAAAATTTTCTTTTGATTTTGTAACCGATTAAACTCATTTTTTATAGTACTTCTTAATAATAAAAAGAACATTTTAATTAAAAAAATAATCTCTTTTTAACTTAGCCTAATAGTATTTAACAATCGTTAAATCCGTTTAAAAACAAAACATTTGTTTTAAAATCTTTTGTTTATAAAAATGTGTAACTTATTAATTAGAAATAATATGACGTTATGCTTTTGATACAAATCCGAGATCTCTGGGAGTCATATATTCTTTTATAATTTCATCAGTTATTTTACTTCTGTTTTCTTGATGACTGCCTATAAGTTTTTGCAGCAGTAAAATTAGTTCTTTCTTTAGTTCACCAGTTAAGATTTCTCCAGATGTATATCCCTGAAAAATAATAATTGGAATAATTATTATTAAAAAAGTATTATAAAAAAGTAAGTACTATTATAAAAAGTATTTTAGATTAAAAATAAACTTTAGAAAAGATCTACTCTTTTAACTAGTGTTGTTATTATGAATTTTTAAGAACAATGGGGTTTCTATTGCAAAATGCGTGCAAATTCACAAGCTTGAATATTTCAATTTTATCTTTTAATGCTTTCCAGACTTCGCACTCAATAATTAATTTTAAGAAAGTAGCAAAAAGTAGCTTTCAAACTCAAAAAAGTAGTTATCGAAAAATTAAGCTTAAAGACCAAAACCATAGTTTTAAAAACTTTACAAAACTGACAAAAAATATTTACTTCTTTTTTATCCTGTTAATAAATTGAACTCCAGCAGCGAATTTTATTATTCATGAAAGAATTTAAATATAATTATAAAAATAATTTCATTCTTGCGAAGAATTTTATAAAAATGTGTAAATAATTTATTTCTTTCCACTAATTTTATGCAAATTCTAATTTAAATAATTGAATTCCTGAGAAATTTTTATTATCCGTTAAAAGAAATGAATTATTACAAAGATTTTTACAAAAAATTTTTTAAATAATTGAATTCTGTTTGGAGATTTTATGAAAATAGTAGATATTGAAAATCATTGAATTGCAAAAAGTTTTTAAAAATAATTAAATTTTACAAAGAATTCTATTAAAATTTTTGAGAATAATTGAATGTCTGTGTGACATTTTATTGAATTATTTTCAAAATAATTGAATTTCTAAAAAGCATTTTATTATTTATGAAAATAATTGAATTCTTGTGATGAATATTGTTATTTATGAAAATAATTGAATTTTGCAAAGAACTTTATTAAAATGGGACAAAATAATTGAATTTTCGGGAATAATTTTGTTTTTTATCTTTAATAATAATTGAATTCTTTCAAAGAATTATTTATGTAAACAATTGAATTCTTGCGAAGAATTTTATTAAAATCTAAAAGAATTATTGAATTATTTAAAAAAAATAGTAATTAAAATTGTATTTTAAAATAATTGAAAATAATTGAATTCCTGTGAAAAATTCTAATATTTTTGTAAATAATTGAATTCTTTCAAAGAATTTGAAAAAAACATTTTTTTAAATAATTGATTTTTTCTTTGGAATTGAAATTAAATTTTTAAGAATAATTAGATTTTTCGAACAATTCCTGTAAGTAAAATTGTATGTATTAAAAATAATTACAGCGATGAATTTTATTATTTATGAAAATAATTAAATATTTGCTAAGAATTTTATTAAAATTTTCAAAAATAATTGAATTTCTGAGAAGAATTTTATTATTTATGAAAATAATTGAATTCTTGCAAGCGATTTTATTAGAATTTTTAAAAATAATTGAATTTCCAAGAAGAAATTTATTACTTTTAAAAAAATTGAATTCTTGTTGTGAATATTGTTATTTATGAAAATAATTGAATTTTGCAAAGAATTATATTAAAATGCGACAATATAATTGAATTTTCGGGAATAATTTTATTATTTATCGATATAATTGAAATCTTTCGAAGAATTATTTATGTAAATAATTGAATTCTTGGAAAGAATTTTATTAAAATCTAAAAGTAAAATTAAATTATTTCAAAAAAAAGTTAATTAAAATTGTATTTAAAATAATTGATTTCTTTCAATTTATTTTATTAACATATTTGAAAATAATTAAATTCCTGTGAAAAATTCTAATATTTTTGTAAATAATTAAGTTCTTCCAAACAATTTTAATCAAAATTTTTTTTAAATAATTGATTTTTTTGAGAATAGAAATTAAATTTTTAAGAATAATTACATTTCTTGAGCAATTCTTGTAAAATTGTATTAAAAATAATTGAAATCCAGGGATGAATTTTATTGTTTACGAAAATAATTGAATAGTTGCAAAGAATTTTATTATTTATTATGAAAATAATTGAATGTATAGCAAAAAATTTTATTAAACTGTTTAAAAAGAATTGAATTTCTGTGAAAAATTTTGTTATTTTTGAAAATAATTGAATTCTTTATAAGAATTTTATAAACATTTTATTAAATACCTAATTAAGTTTTTCGAAATATAATAAATATTATCAAAATTTTATTTCAAAACAAAAAATAATTTGAATTCTTGTGGAAAACTTTATTTGTGAAAAAATATAAATTTTTCGATTAATTAATTTAAAATAATTAAATGAATTTAATTAATTTAAAATAATTGAAATTCTGCTATGACTTTTATTATTTATGAAAATAATTGAATTCTTGCTTAGAATTTAATCAAAAATTTTGTTAAATTAATTGATTTTTTTGAATTTTTTTTTTTTTAAATGCTTTTTTAAATTAATTGAATTCCTTGGGAAATTTTATTATTTATGAAAATAATTGAATTTTGAATGAATTTTATCAATTATTTTTTAAATTATTGAATTTTTTTGCGAAATTTTATGAAAATACTAGATATTGAAAATAATTGAATTTTTAAATTATTTATATCTTTCGATAATAATTTTTGAGATTAGTTTTCTGATTTGTAATATTAGCGAATTTAAAGTAGAATTCTCAAAAAATACAAAAAAGTAGCTTTTAGTCGATGAAATCTAAAAAAACTACCCAAATAGTAGCATAAAGTAAAAAAGTAGTAAATAGTTGGTTTTAGTAGATGAGTGCAAAGCCTGGCTTTCGTGCTATCAAAATTTATCTACAATGAAAAAAAGAGAAGGCCTTGTAACACATTGTAATTAAGTATTTAAAAATACGTACAACTCTGAGTTTCTCTAATTTCTCATCATCATCCAGGAAAAATGTAAGCCATTGATATGAGATATCAACATCGCAGTTGCCTCCAAGTTTCCTGTGTTCCTCTAGAGTCGCTTGTCCGCCAGAAAACGCGTGCTTGTTCACCTTGTCCTTGATATTCTTTTGAGTGTCCGTTAGAAAAACGGCAGAATTGTCTTCGCTGGCAGACATTTTCGTTTTGGAACCTTGCAATGCAGGGAAGAAGCTCGAATGCAACAAGGCCGGTTTCGGATAGCCAAGTTTTGGAGCTACATCTCTCGTCATCCTGAAGTAAGGATCCTGATCAATCGCACATGGAATCAGGCAGTGTGCCTTTGATGTTTTAAAAATAAACGGAAATGTGCTACAAAAAGCAGGAGCCGCCTGTGTGGGAGGAAACGATATTTTTGCGATAGGATCACTATCGCCAAATCCAAATATTCCTTTTACCTGATTAAAGGTAACGCACTTTTGAATTCTTATCATATTTTGATAGAAGGCAGGATTGTTGCCAATATGTTCGAGATTCGAAAAGATAAATGTCTTCTTAATATTAAAGCCGCAAGCAATTATGTCTTTGGCATTTAAATATGCAAGTTCAATTGCAGTTTCAAGTTTAATGTTCTTCCAAATGGATTTCTCGTCGTCGGTTAATTGAATGACAAGGGGAACGTCGAAAACATCCTGCAGCCACTTGCAAAACATAAACGGAATCAAGTGACCGATATGCATTGATTCTGAACTTGGACCTCGTCCTGTGTAAAGATAAAATGGTTTCCCCTGTTCATACAAATTCAGGATGGTATGCATATCTCTGTGAGAAAAGAAAATTCCTCTACGAAGAAAATGATGAGGTTTTTGTCCAGTGACTTTTTCAAATCTTTGAAGAAGCTCATCGTCGATTTTCGAACTGCCAAAGCGCACTATTGAACAAAGATATTATTTAGTTCAAACAAAATCAACGCAAAATATTAAAATGTAATAATAAATTTACTAAACACAATTTAGTTTTTCAAAATTTACAATTTTTGAAAAGATTCTAATATACTTAAATAGAAATTCTCAGTTTTCATAAGGAAATAATTTGGATCATTTCTACTTCTTAATTACAATATTGCTTTATAATAAAATTTTAAGTTTTCTAAAAATAAAGGAAAAAAATTTTTATAAATTCTATTTGTCAATTACAATTATTTTAATTGAAAAATAAAATTTTTGAATTTTTAGAAAATAAAGGAAAAAATTCAACTTAAAAAAATGTTCTGTTACATTTATTTACGAATTTCTTTAATTGCAAAATTATTCAAAAACATCAATAACTTCTTTTCTAAATAAATATTAAATTATTATTATTTTTTTAATAGGAATTAAGATTTTCAAAAATTTCAAATTCAAACCTTTTTGAAATTAAATATGTAACTCGGAGTCAAAGACTCGGAGTGATCGATTTCTTCATGTTTTATAATAATTAAAAATAATTGAGTGATAAAATCATTATTTTATATTATAAGAATATTGTTACTGTAACTTCTTAAAAATTATTTTCACATTCTATTATTATCTAAAATTTAAACTAAAATTCATTTTCAAATTATTTATTAATCAAATTTTTAAATAATTGAATTCTTTTGACGAATTTTAATAACATTTTTTAGAATAGTTACATTTTTCAAAGACTTCGATTAAAATTGTATTAAAAATAATTGAAATTCTGGGATGAATTTTATTATTTCTGAACATAAGAATGTGACTCTTTATAAAATTCAATTATTTATCAATTATTAAATTCAAATACTTTAAAAATTCGATTTGTTAAAAAGTTTTTAATGAAATTCTTTGACAAATTTAATTATTTTCAGTTGAATTTTACAAAATTTCTATTAATTCGATAATTATTTTTTAATTATTTTTAACTAGGTAATTAAAATTTAGAGAACAGTATAAATATCCTTTATTACTCATGAAAATAATTGAATTTCTGCAATAATTTGTAACTTCTTCAAAATTAAATTTTTTTCTAGTGTTTTTAACTAAAATTCTTCTTTAAATAAATTATTTTTAATAATTTTTGAAAAAGTTCTTCTTTGAGAATTTTTAAATCCCTTTGTTTACACTTCAATTTTACGTGAAATTTCAATTATTAGAAAATTCTTTAATTAAATATATATATTAGAAAATAAAAACTTGAAAGAATTTCAAAAAAAAATTCAATTAAACTTTTTCAAAGGAATTATTTCTATAGAATTGTTTGTTAAAAATATATAAAATTAAGAATTTCAATGATTTTCATTTAAAACCTTTTCAAAATTCAATTATTCAAAAAAATTGCAAATATTAGTAACTTCTCCAAAATTCAATTATTATCTAAAACTTTAACTGAAATTAATTTTTAAATCAATTTCTATTAGAAAATTCTACGAGAATTCAATTATTTAAATACAAACATAGATAATTTATTGAATAATTGAATGTTTCTTAAAATTTAATGCTCATAAAGAATTTTATCAACAAATTTATAAATAGTTAAATTCTTTTGACAGATTTTAATAAAAGTTTTAATAATAATATTTTCCAAGGAATTCGATTAAAATTGTATTAAAAATAATTGAAATTCTGCGATGAGTTTTATTATTTATGAAAATAATTGAATAATTGCGAAGAATTTTATTAAAAAAGTTTCAAAGAATTTACTTCTTATGAACAAATTTATGCAAATTATATTTCTAATATTTGAATTTCTGTGAAATTTTTATTATTTATGAAAACAATTAAATGTTTGCGTTCAAGTTTATTAAAATTGTTTTTAAATAATTTAATTCTTTTAGGGAATTTTATTAAAACTGTAATAGATATTGAAAATCATTGAAATGAGGAAAATTTTTAAAAGAATTTTATTAAAATTTTTGAAAATAGTTGAATTTTATTCAATTCAATTTTTAAAATTTTTTAACTAAAATTGTTCTATAAATCTATTATTTTTGATAATTAATTAAATATATATTGAAAAATTTAACTAATTTGAAGAATTTTAATTATTAACATTTTGCAAAAATCTAAGTTTTTAAAAATGTCTAATTAAATTCATTAAAAATTGAAATTTTATAAAATTTCAAATTGAAAACCTTTTTAATATTAAAAAGTAAAATTATTCATTAAATAACTTATTTATTTTATGATAGTTGTTCACGATTTAAATTATTTAAAAAAGCTATTTTAAAAGATTGATTAATTAATAATTAATTATTTTTTTAATATTTTATATTTATATTTATAATTAAAAATTAATAATTAAACAAGAATGACTTATACGTTCTTTGAAAAATTTTCGATTAGATTAGTTCATGTAAAATTGACTTTTTCAAACTTAACAATTTTTGAAATTAAAAAAATTTTATTTAATATTAACAATAAGTCTGATTCATCAAACTAGATAATATAATTGCTATAATTGATATATTTAATTCATCAAATCTGAGTATACTTCAGAATATAGAAATGATTTTTAAACTTTAAAAATAGTTTGAAATTAAATTGTACAGAAACTGTAAAACTAACATTACAAAGTAATTACAAAGTAAATTAACAAAGAAAACTTAATAAAAATTTTAACTTTCTTCATAGTACTATAAAATGATAAATATTAAATTATTTTTTTAATCCATATGCAGAATGATCAACGCAAGAAATGTTTCTAAGGTTATGTATCCATATGATCATTCTGATTTTGCCGGTTATTTTTTATTTTGAAAAACTTTAAGTTTCTGGGAAAAAATATTTCCAAACCTAACAATAATACATAGAAAAAAAACAAAACATTAAAAGAATTTACATGTTTTCGCTTACCAATAAGTTTATCATAATCTATCCCTTTATTTCCAGACACACTTTCAACACACCAAGGTGTTACAATATCGTCATTTCGAATTTCCCCGTTGGCGTCGATCGACAAGTTCTCAATCCCTATTTCTGTACTCATATTTTAATGTTTGTTTATTAGTTACAATTTGCACTATATTATAATTATTAATTTTCAATAAATTAAATATAAAAGTGAGAATTAAGTGCTTAGATTTTTCCCATGCTGTTAAAACAAGATACTAAAGGTGCATTCACACCTTTGTCGGTAGAAAAAAATTAATCGCAGCTCGATGTTGGACATGGCCAACCATAACAGGTTGCATCGTTTGCGTGCAAAAAGTGGATAACGCTATGGTAAAGTAACGGGATGTACATGAGCAACAAAAATAATAAAATTTATTATTTATAATAAAAGTCATTATTTTTATTGTTTATTATTATAATTATTACATTTATTTATTATTACACTTACTTTTTGAAAATATTATAATGGAAATATACAGAGAAATATTAAACAATAAAGGAAATTTGTTTACAAAAATATTATTAAACATAAATTTTGTAAAAATATTTAATTAATAAAACATTATTTTTGGATTTTTTTTTATTTTTACCTATACAAAAAATTTTTTGAACTTAATGCAATGAATAGAAAAAGCGGTTACCCCCACAGCACCGAAACTTTCCTAAAAATTTATTAAATATTTACTTGCAATGTTCGGCATATTTAACTGAAAAGTTTAGTCAAAATTGTGTAAAGATTTAAATGTCCCGATTAAATAAATGTTTAGCGCGAAACTTTCCTGAACATTTAAATTACATTTTCGCCTAATTATAAGTATTTTTTTAATCGGGACATTTAAATATTTACACAATTTTCACTAAACTTTTCAGTTAAATATGCCGAACATTGCAAGTAAATATTTAATAAATTTTTTGGAAAGTTTCAGTGCTGTGGGGGTAAAGTAGTTTACATATATGACATATTATTTTTATAATTTGTTAAAAATTTTATTTTTTGTTTAATCTTTTATAAACAAGAATACCTATTTTATATTATTTTTTTTATTATTTATTCATTAGAAGGTAATACAAATAAAAAGAAATTCCATTGTTTTCGCTGCTATAAGAGTTACTATTATTACTAGCACAAATAACGCGCGCTAAAGCGCGCGTTAAGTTTCTTGTTTCACTTTTAACATATATATATAACAATAATGTAATTTTTACATTACATGTCACATGAAAATTAATGAAAGCGTGAATGCCAATGAGACGATAATGAAAAATATGTTCATTACATTATTTTTGACTTATTAATAATCAAAAATAAATTACATTTAATTAGAATTAATTATTTATTTGTTATTTTGTTTCTAATAGTTTTCTAGTCAAAATTAATTAATATTATTTTCATATCATTAACATTCAAAAATTCAATTATTCAGAAGAATTCTACACAAAATCACTATTTTTCTAAATTTATTCCGGGAAATCAGGAAAAAGTCAGAAAATTTTGTCAAAAGTGCTGGAATAATATTCAATTTCAACAATTCATAAGAAAATTCTGAATGTTATTCTTGAGCATTAAAAAGATTTTATATATTTCAAACTCTTGCTGTTTTTAACAATAATTAGACTTTACAGATTTAGAATTAATTTTCTTAAATAATTTAATTTTTAAAAAACTATCGAGAAAAAATTATTTTTTATTAATTATTTTGGAATAATTTTTTATTTAAAAATTAAAAAAATAATTGAATTTTATGAAATTTGTATTTAAAATTTTTTTATAAATAATATATAAATAAGTAGTAAATGTCACGCCTGCCAAACAAAGTATTTAATTTATTATTATTATTATTATCATTACTCAAAAGAAATTCGATTATCTTTACAAAATTTCAATAAAAAATTCTTCGAAAAATTTATGAAAAATTACAAAAATGTTATCTTTTAAAATTATTACAGGTGACAGCTAAAAAAACGCGCGTGTAGTTTCTCCTAGTATTAATAGATAATTAATAATAATGCCTATTAACAATAAAAACTGGTACCTAATCACTTAACTACTTAATCACAAAAAATAATTAAAAAATTTTAAAAAATTTCGTTAAAAATTGAAATTTACAAAATATATCACTGCTTTGCTAACTTTGCATAAAATTTCATATTTGTGCCTTCAAAAAATGAATTTAAAAATGTTTTGATAAAATTCTTTATCAGACTTAAATTTTAAGAAATTTTAATTATTCAATAAATTATTTATTTTTGTATTCAAATTATTGAATTCTCTAATACAAATTTATTTCAAAATGAATTTCAGTTAAAGTTCTATACATAATAATTGAATATTAAAAGCATTACAGCATGAATTTTAAGAAATAATTAAATTTTAAAATGGTTCCAAATCAAATTCTTTAAAAATTTGTATTTTTCATACTTATAACTAACAATTCTGTAGAATTAATTATTTTAAAAAAGTTTAATTGAATTTTTTTCTGAAAATATTTGAAATATTTATTTTTTAATTCGTATTTATAGTTGAAGAATTTCTGAATAATTTAAATTTCGTAAACAAATGGATTTTAAAATTCTCAAAGAACTTTTTTTAAAAATTATTAAAAATAATTTATTCCTGTGGGAAAATAATAATGATTAAAATTTATTTAGAAAAGAAGTAATTGATGTTTTCAAATAATTTTAGAATTAAAGAAATTCGTAAATAAATGTAATGGAACATTTTTTGGAGTATCTAATCATTTTTAGAGAGAATCAGAATATTCTTTAGAGTCAAGGAAGAAGTCAAAATTTTGTTAAGTAATAAAGTTTTTCATATTAAAAAAAAAAGAAAATATTTTACAGGATTTACATTTGTTAATTTTCTAAAATGTTTGTTACAAAATGCTAATTTTTTAGAATCAAAGGAAATAATGAATAGTATAATAATATTAATAATTCTTTTAGATTAATAAAAATATTGTTGAATTATTTGAGAAATAAAAATAATATTATTAAATCAAAAAAAATAAAAACAAAATAAATAAATGTAATATTATATCTATCAAAACATATAAAAAACAAAAGCATAAATTTTGTTAAAAAATCGTTATTTTATATTTTATTTCTATTTTCTATCAAAACGAATAAAAAACAAAAGAATAACCATGACTAACTTCAGGTGTGGACAGACTGGACAGAATGAATACGACGATTATTATAGTTAATTGTTTATTCCTAAAAAAACCATTTTCAGAAAAAATATGTTTTTTAATTTTCAAATTATTCAAAATTTTATGCTTTTTTCACCAAATTTTTCAGTTTTACAATTTATTTTTTTTTAATCCTGATACTTTTTTTAAAAAAGGAAAAAATTTTTTTTTAATTATGTAGTGTTTCTATGAGCGTCAATATGAATCCGGGTTTTAAAAAACAATACAAATTGACATCTGGACATAGAAAATGGAGAACCGCAACAGGTCATGCAGCTCTGCTTTTGTTGAACCACTTTTTATTTTATTTAATTTGTCTTTAGATAATGATATTTTTCCACTGATTTGAAAAAGAAGTATAATTATTCCGGTTCACAAAGGTGGAGATATGAAAAATGTATCGAATTATCGTCTTATTTTTATTTTCAGTGCGATTGCAAAAATTTTTGTAATGTTCAAGACGGTTTTTATTGGGAAACGGAACTATTAACCCTTAATCTTAAAGTACAAACTTCAAAAACTTACGTTTGATACACTATGGGCGCTTTGTACCCTGCAATACTTTGAAACCTTATATATTTGTCTTAAATTAATGAAATTCAGTTCATTTTTTTAATTGATAGGAAATGTTTTAAGGAATATGAAAAATATAGTTTTATTGATATAAAATTAATTTGTTAAAAAATATTTGACAATAAACAATGACATGTTTTTAAGAATGGAACGCATTTGAACAAAACACCTGGACTTGTGCAATCCTGCAATCTTTCATGGTGGAACCATTGGTCGAGTGCCTAATATTTGTTGAACGTGCGGGGACGCTCGACGAATCAGTAAAACAAAAAGGTGATTCTGCGAGGGAATTTAATTCAGAGGATTGATGACAACAAAATCAATTAACAAGGAAATCCAGCTCGTAGGATTATTGATCGAAAGCTAAACCGATAAGGAAATCCAACTCGCAGGATTGGAAAATATCGCCGATTGGTCGTGAGCCGTATTAATTTATTTATTCTGTTAAAATTGTTTATGTATAATTGTAGTGTGTATTTATGGTTGAGTGTGTGTATGATGCGAATTGTAATATATTTAATTGTGATATTGATCTTTTATATACATATAAAAATAATATTAACCCTTTGCCGTTGATATGTTACGAAATGTCGTCTAGAGTCCTTTTTGGGGGAACAGCCAATGAGAAGAGGCGTTTATACTTGTGTTGATAAGTTAGTTATGTGTGAGTATGTAAGTGTCTAAACTTGCAGGATCGTACCTTTTGTGTAAAGTGCAAATGTATATTTGCAATTTATTACAATTTAAAAATGGTAAATTTGATTGTTAAAGACTTTTATCAAACATAAATATCCTATGTAAACATAACCTCAAAATCAAACTAACATTCGGCCCTGATATTGTCCACGTGATTCAACTGTCAAACTGCTTTTTTCTGAGGTGGGGAAAACTTATTTACGGCAAAGAGTTAAACGTAATTTGCCGATATAAAATCAATTCGGGATTTATTGTAGACGCATTTGATTTACAGATTCACGGATATTTTGAATATTTTTCTGTATTGAGACAACTTTATCCATTTATTAACAAATGTCGAACAATAAAACAATTTATCACTCAGTCGAAGATTTACAACTTCTTGACTTAATTTAACATCAGGAACCTACGAATGTTCTGAGTACTTTGGAGTGTATAATTTCGTCAAGAAAGTCTTATTCGACAAACTTATGGCATATCTGCCTGATGGAACACAATCTAACTTAGTTTAAAACAATTGACTCGAACTGTCCAAAAGAAGTGACAAAAATAGTGACCAAAAGAAATAACCAAGGGCGACAAAAATTAGGAGTGGTCCAGTAGTTTTATAGACAGCCTATAATACAGTGTTAACACTGTATAAATGCATATTGGGACTGATGGGGGTATTAGCTATATACATCTCATTGGTTAACATTTTTGCGCACGCATTCTGTTACAGAATAGAGAAGTGGGGTATATTGTATCTTCTTCGGAAATTTACATAAACTCGTC